CTCTCTGGCTGTGGATTACATTTACAAATTTACCAGATATATATTCAATGTAGCCTTAAATTTGAAACTTCAATCCAAAACTTTAATCAGATCTTTATTTATAGTGTTGAACGCCTAAAGTCAGACTAATAAGTAATCATTTTCCTACCACTGAATAACTTCCATCACTTGTCAAACATACAACGGATTTTCTAGGTATAAGGATACGTAAATACCAAGCATGTAATTGTGAATGCTGATGTTGATGAACTGAAACAGAAAAGCTTCAGTACATTATACAGGACTGCCACAGGTCCTTTCAGTGGAAGCACGTGCAGATAATGCCCCCATGTGGTCACAATGGAGACATACATGCTAATACATGGCCTATGTAGAAGATAACTGCGTCTGCTTGTATTGCTCCACATCCTGCAGGCTGAGCTTACCCATGTGTATCATTCTTTACAAAAAAACTCTGCCATTAAAATATTTGTATTTTGGGTCCAGCTGTTAGAGTGAGTCGGTGAGAGCCATGTTTTTTTTTGGGATCTCAGTGAAGCAAGTGAGAGCTGTCTGCAGCCAGAGTTGTCATTTAGTTTAAAAAGCACCTGTTCTCTCAGAGTATGTTATGCCTGCTCTCTGAGGGTGTACTTGTGACAATGGGTATACCATCAAAAATATATAGGCTACATATGTATATATACATAGCCAGGCTACATACTGTTCATCCATGAATTCAGCCATCGTTCATTTCATTATTTAAACCTGAGCTTCTCATACTGTGAAATATTCACTTTGTTTTTAAAATGTAAAAAGTGGTTTGATATGACTGTGGATTTTACTGAGATTGACACAAGGTGACATGTAATACATGTAAATGCTGGCTTTGTTGCTCAGTAATGCTCCTACTGTTTACCATGTCCAAACTAATAGGTGTCAAGAAGGGGAATATTAAAATTGTGTTGAGAGCATGGTCTGAAGCATCCATGCTTGAATTTTGACTTGAGCCGTCCCTTATAGATACTGTCTTTTCACGTTAGTGAGCCGGATCATTTCAATAGTATGAAGCTGCAGCCTCGCAGACCGCAGTTTCTGGACCCTTCTTCTCTTTTTTAATGGCGGATCGCAAACAGCTTTTAGTTGCATACCGCCACCTACTGTACATGAGTGTGTATCACCATGTCATTCCATCTCTAATAAACAAAATAACGAAAACTAAAATAAGAAACCACAAAATAAATAAAACAAAACAAACATCCATAATTTATTCTAACCTACTTTTAGATTATTTTACCTATCCCAGTTTCTCTCAGAAAGGTAACCAGTGCCTTTCTGGTAGCTCTCACTCCTTCTCCTTCTGTTCCCAGAACACCAACCACACTCCCTCTCTGCCTCTATCACTTTCTCCTTTAGTTTTTCTCTTTCAGCTTTATAGGTGACACAATTTAATAAAACATGTTCCACATTTCCCTTACCTCCACAGTTCCCACACTTGTCACTGTTACTTTCCCCCATGACATACAGAGTACCATTCAATGCTGTGTGATTTAGTCTGAGTCTAGCTATCATGATTTCCTCCCTTCTGTTTCTTTCTTTATAATCAATCAATCAATGTTTATTTATATAGCCCAATATCACAAATGTTACATTTGTCTCAGTGGACTTCACAGTTTGTACAGAATATCAGTGTGACAATACGACACCCTCTGTCCTTAGACCCTCACATCGTACAAGGAAAAACTTCAGAAGAAAACCCACAGTTTAAAGGGAAAAATGGGAGAAACCTCAGGGAGAGCAACAGAGGAGGGATCCCTCTCCCAGGACGGACAGACGTGCAATAGATGCCGTGTGTAAATTGAAAAGATAATACATTTGCAACATAGGTAGTCCAAATGTTTGGAAATGCATGTGTGTATAATAGGAAGATGAATCCACGAGGATATCCATCCAGGACCTATGATCCAGGACCACAGCCACGACTCAAGATCCAGGGCTCGCAATCCAGGACAGAGGAGCGCAGGATCATCCATGACTCCGGATCCCGGCGTATATAGACACCAAAAAGAAAGACATTTGGGGAAGCTGGGTTAATCGGAACATGAGAGTACACAGGTATAGACAGAGAGAAGGAAGAAGTAAGATGTCCCCCGACAAACTAAGCCTATATCAGCAAAACTAGGGAGCTGAATCTAATCAGCCCTAACTATAAGCTTTATCAAAAAGGAAGGTCTTAAGCGCACTCTTAAAAACGGATAGGGTGTCTGCCCGCCCGAACACAAACTGGAAGCTGATTCCACAAATGTGGAGCTTGATAAGAAAAGGCTCTGGCTCCCATTGTACTTTTAGAGACTCTAGGAACAACCAACAACCCTGCATTCTTGGAACGCAATGCCCTAGTAGGACAGTAGGGTATAATGAGTTATTTAAGGTAAGATGGCGCCTGCCCATTAGGGGCTTTGTAGGCGAGAAGAAGAATTTTAAATTCTATCCTGTGTTCTATAGGGAGCCAGTGTAAGGCAGCCAGAACAGGAGTAATGTGGTCCCTTTTCCTAACTCTGGTTAGTACACGAGCCGCAGCATTTTGAATCAGCTGAAGCGACTTGACTGACTTCTTGGTACACCCTGATAATAAAGAGTTACAATAATCCAGCCTTGAAGTAACAAATGCATGGACTAGTTTCTCTGCATCGTTTTGAGGCAAGATATGCCTGATTTTTGCAATGTTACGTAGATGGAAGTAGGCGGTCCTTGAAATTGATTTTATGTGGGCGTTAAAGGATAAATCCTGATCAAATATAACACCAAGATTCCTTACAGTCTCACTGGAGGCCAAATTAATGCCATCCATATTTAGTATATCCTTAGATAATTTGTTTCGTAGATTCTTCGGGCCAAGTACAATAACTTCAGTTTTGGTCGTGTTTAACATCAAAAAGTTGAAGGTCATCCACGTTTTTAAGTCCTTAAGGCAGTCTTGAATTTTATTTAGATGATTAATTTCATCAGGCTTGATTGATAAATATAGTTGAGTATCATCCGCATAACAATGAAAGTTTACAGAATTATTCCTTATAATATTGCCTAACGGAAGCATATATAATGTGAACAAAATAGGTCCGAGCACTGAGCCCTGTGGCACTCCATGGCTAACTTTGGTTTGCGTGGAAGATTCATCATTGACACGTACAAACAGAGCGTTCAGATAGATAGGACCTAAACCAGTCTAAAGCAGTTCCCTGTATGCCAACTAAGTGCTCTAGTCTTTGCAATAAGATATCATGGTCGATAGTATCAAATGCAGCACTGAGATCGAGCAAAACAAGAATAGAGACACGTCCCTTGTCAGAGGCTATTAGAATGTCATTTGTGACTTTAACCAGAGCTGTCTCTGTGCTATGATGTGTTCTAAAGCCAGACTGAAAAGCTTCAAATAAATCATTGTTTTTTAAGTAATCACACAACTGTTTTGCGACCGCTTTCTCAAGAATTTTTGAGAGGAACGGAAGATTGGAAATAGGTCTATAATTGGCTAAAACCTCTGGATCGAGGTTGTGCTTTTTAAGAAGCGGTTTTATCACTGCTACTTTGAATGATTGTGGAACATAGCCTGATAATAAAGACATATTCATAATATTTAATAAATAAGTGCTAATTAATGGAAAAACTTCCTTCAACAGCTTAGTTGGAATTGGGTCTAACATACACGTTGATGGTTTAGAAGAGAGAATCATTGAATTGAATTGTTCAAGGTTTATGGCTGAAAAGCATTCTAGTTTACTATCTAGTGTAATATTAGAACTTACGTTTCCGGGAGCTGTTGATAACACTATACTGGTCAAAGGCAAGATGTCATTAATTTTGTTTCTAAGAGTAACAATTTTATCGTTAAAAAAGCACATAAAATCATTACTACTGAGTGCTATGGGAATAGAAGGCTCAATCGAGCTGTGGCTTTCTGTCAGCCTGGCTACAGTGCTGAAAAGAAATCTTGCATTATTCTTATTCTCATCTATTAATGAAGGCTGCTCTCGCTTTACGCAGTGCTTTCTTATATTCATTGAGAGTAATATGCCAAATTAAACGAGATTCTTCAAGTTTAGTGGAACGCCATATCCTTTCAAGTTGTCTCGACTTTTGCTTTATTTTGCGGGTTTCGGCATTATGCCATGGAGCTAATCTATGTTGTTTTATTTTCTTCTTTTTCAAAGGAGCAACAGAGTCTAATTTTATTCGCAGCGCATCTGTAGCACTATCAACAACATGATCAATTTGGGGTGGTGTACATTTTGTATAAGTTTCCTCCCTTACATGCAGACATGCTATCGAGTTAAGTATTGGTGGAATCTCTTCCTTAAATTTGGCTATAGCACTAACAGATAGGTTTCTGCTGCAGGAGCTTTTGACTAATGCTTTGTAGTCTCGTAACAGTACTTCAAAAGTTACTAAGAAATGGTCGGATAAAGCAGGATTATGCGGTTCGACTAATAGTTGCTCAATTTCAATACCATAAGTCAGAACAAGGTCGAGAGTGTGATTATAGCAGTGGGTTGGTTTATTTACACTCTGACAAAAACCAACAGAATCTAATATAGAGTTAAATGCAACAGTAAGGCTATTTTTATCATCGTCAACATGAATATTAAAGTCACCTACGATAATTACTTTATCTGTTTTAAGAACCAAAGTTGATAAAAACTCAGAGAATTCAGATAAGAATTCTGAATAAGGACCTGGTGCACGGTACACTGTAACAAATAAGAATATAAATATTGATTGTAATTGTCTTTTGAACTTTATGATACTATTTACCTTTCTGGTCTTTCTCCCACCTTTTCTGCCAGATATCCATCCCTTTCTTCTTAATTACGGCTTTTCCTTCTCCTTAGTTGAACTGGTAATGTTATTTCCTTTTGTAATGCACTTTTTGCTAATTTATCAGTACACTCGTTTCCTTTCACCCCCTCATGCACACTCGTTCCCTTTCACCCCCCCCCCCCCCCGCCCCCATGCAGGCACCCAGCAGAACTGCAGATCTATACCACCTCTGTGAAGTCTTAACAGGCTATGATTAATTTCTATGAGTATGTCTTCTCTGGCAGTTGATGATGACTGTATGCTTCTTAAAATGGATAATGAATCTGTGCATATAACCACCATATCTGGTCTGACCTCTTCCACCCACTGTAATCCTATTATTACTGCCAGCATTTCTGCTGTGTACACTGATAATTGATCTGACGCTCTTCGATCGATCGATATTTTAAATTCTGGGATATATATACCAATTCCGATACACTCTTCCTTGTTCTTAGAACCATCTGTGTATATTTTGAGGTAGTTGTGATAAGTATTACTGAGGTACATACTTGTTTTGAATCCTACTTCATATATTTGCCACTCTCTTTTCTTTTCTACAATACTCATATCTATATTTACCATTGGGAAAAGCCATGGGGGAACACTACTGAATGGATTTGATGGTGAAAACTCTAACTCATGAATGCCGTATGTCTTTATTTTTCCATCCAAACCCACGGCCCTGGAACTTGGAATATTAGTATTGAGTATATATAACGTATATATATATATATATATATAACGTATATAGTAGTAAGAATGATATAATCTATTTATAATTGTAAATGTATATTGTATGTAGACATACATTTAGATGTATATTTTGTTAAAAGAAAACAAAAATGTTAATTTAGTTTTTGGGAGAAGGGGTGGTAAACTTCTTCCTACGTCTTTTCGGATGTGTAATTGGGTAGATCATTTGTTTATATATCATTTGTAAGTCAATAATATTTAGTTCATCAATTTGATACTGCTTATGTTTCTACAGTATCATAATTATCTTGTTTAATTTCATTTAAATGTATATGTATTCTTTTTTTTCTTTTTTTATTGTATTACACGTTCGAAATAAATCAAATCAAATGTGTCTCTGAAGTGGTGCTTGATTACTCAAAAACAAGTGTTAGTGTGTTTATGCACCTGGCTGCCAAAGATAAACATGCAGTTTGACCAAGAGGCATTTCAGTGCAGAATCAAATTGTATTCATTGGGCACAATGAGGATTCTTCACTGGGGTGAGGGGCGGTCTGTTGCTCCCTCAGCCACCAGACAACAGCTCCAGCTGCAGTACCCCGGGAAGCCCTCTTCGGAGTAAAAACCCATCAAGATTCCTCTCCGTCCACTTCCCCGGTAGCCTGTGCCGACGTCATTATATTGGTCGTCACAGTGAAAGCACCTGGAAATTTGGTATGCCTTCCTGAATTCCCTTTTGTGTCCCTCTGTAAAGATATTCCAGTTGACGACACCTGAAGTAAAATGTCACAAGACAATTACAATTCAGACAGAAAAAGAACAAAACCTTAATTTAGTTGAACTTTTTTAGTTCAACCAAACTCATAATACTAGGATAGGAGAAGGCAGAAGTAAAGACACTTAATAAACTTACTGTCAAGCCAGTTGAAGTGGGTTTCCTTTTGGAATGACCACTGGCTCACGATGTAGTTGAAGTTCTTGCAGGTAAGGGCTAGCGTGCAGATTGCAGGATCACCATCCTCAAGAACGACAAACCCAAGGATCCTCCGGATTATGCCTTCAGGCAGCTGTAGATATAAAACATGACTTAATATGAAATCCTTTCAAGCTAAATATTATTGTAGGTCTCTATTGTTATTGTCTCTACTGTCAAAACTAAAGCAATTGTAAATACATGCCTGCAATATGCCAATGGCCACCTTCTCCTGGGAGATATCCTTTCTGGCACTCTGTCGTGGCACTCTGAACACTGGTTGAAGGGTTCCCTCGAGCAAGCTTCTGGCCTCCAGAGTCCAGAAGGCAAACCTTTGGCCATGCCTTTGAAACAATAAGAACCAGATGTAATCTAAAGTATTACATAGGGAAAGGCTAAGGCATTGGTGCACAATTGATATGCATTAATAATCTCAACAGATATTGCCATCCAGAGTCTTACAGCTCTTGTTACTGATGGTCTACTGATCTGTAGATGGTTAATCTAATATAACTAACAGATGTTCTATTGACATGCTACTGAGTTTGTTGAGAGATTGTAGATAATCTACAAGTGACCCTCAAAATAAAGTGTTACTGAAATTAAAACACACATATTGTTAAGGGCTTTCATACCCTTGTATTTGAAAACGCTCCATGAGAAGAAGACACCACCACTTCCGAATCAAAGGCATGTCCATCTGAATGAAGTGACAAAGACCATTTTTCTTCAAGATGAACAGTATGATGCAACATAAGCAACACTTTAAGTAGGCATTTACTTCTTTGGTAAAAAAAAAAATCAGAAACTAACCTCCTGGAATTCAAACCCGGCGACTGTAACAATCGACAGAGTATACTGGAACAGAGAAGATGGAAAACAAAGCATTATATTTACAATGTTTACAGAAGCCTGAAACGTACCAACTGATACCCTATCATAAGCATAACAATTCTGCAGTCATTTCCACAGATCTGGCGTGGCAAGCCCTAAAATCAACAAAAATAAGATAACATTAAATACATGACTGATAGATAAAACCCCAAAGTCTTCTCCGTCACATGATGATTTTTACATGATGTGCAGAGTACGGGCAATAGTCATTTATCTTTGGAGTAGCTATGGATATATTATTAATATTTGTTATGCATTGATTATTCACCGCAATATCATGCCCTGTCTTTTCAGTCCAGCTCCCAGGATGAATCTGCTGAGCAAGATATCTACAAGACAAAAATTCAAAAATTAACAAAAAGACATTTTGGAATTCATAATGTTAAAGTGATTTGGTACTTGTGCACATAAGTCTACAGTAGCTCCCACATGTCTTTGTCAAAATTGCCTTGCAGTACCGGCATGAACAGATCAGAGCAGTGGAAATGACATTGTGGTCGGCAATTTAATGCACATCTGTGAATGGTATACCCTTAAACATAAGAACATAGAATTTTAGTATTATTATTTTGTGATCATATTATTTTAAAGTGTAAATTATGAATACCAAAAATCTGAATCAAGTAACTGGTCACCACAAACAAATCATAGAAGGACTTGTTTTGATGTATTGCTCAAATGGAACTGATTATAACATTCAGGCTGCTTTTAATGCAGACACATTGCAACTCCATTTGCATTTCACAAGAGAATGTTTTCAAACGTTACCTTCATGGAGAACTGCACGGTTGAAGTGGCTCTCTAAATGGGCTTGGACCTTGTTCAATTTGGCTGGGTGGAATACATTTGAGGCACATAACGGGCAGTGAAAGTCTTTGCAGCATAAATCACTGTAATAAATCGCTGTAAATCGGGCAAGGATCTCCCCTCTCGGATTGTAATATGCATCTTGAAAAAGAGAGAGCCTAATTGGTCAAACTGAACATTTTGAAATAATTTCAGACAGACATAAATTAGGCCTAATTGTTAGATTCTGACACGACAGATTCTAACCTACAGAATAGGCCGACATAATAACTGACTAAAACACCTCATGCAATATTACAAAACATGTCAAAATGATGAGACTGTCTGATAACACGTAGTGTGGAATAAACAGGCAGTCAGCACAGTTAAGATTATTTACAATGAATTCAAATAGTAATACAATGACTATTAAAGATGCATTTACACTGACGACAGAACTTAGGCTACTGCTGATTTAATGTAGTGGACAGACAGATCATATTGACATGCTTTTGTCATCCTTTGAAGTTGAATTAATTAGCTGACTATAATGAATGATCAGGGTTGGGAAGTTTACTTTTGAAATGTAGTAGGTTACAGATGACTAATTACCCTGTTGGTTTTGCAGCGAGTCATCATAGGGCCTAGGCTAACAGATTACTGTTTCCTCACATTTAGCACGTGTTGCTGTTAACTTTAAACAAACAACATGATTCACATTACTCACACTCTTACTGTAATTACTGATTACATTAACAATTAATGTAGGACACCTAGTTGGGCTTGCCAAAATCACCCTACAGTTTAATTAAACAAATAATCAAATATGCTAACAGTTTATTTTGCCGAAAGCTATAGCTAACGAATAATTGTTTTTAGTGCCTTTAATACGGTTAGAAGCTATCATAAGCGAACAGGTGATTGTTTGTATTGCCTTAAGACAGGGGCACTCAAATACAAATCTTAAAGGTCCAAAAGATTTGTTTCAATAAGAGAAAGGTCCGTTTATTACGGTCATTTAAACCTTTAAAGAATTGCAACAAGATTCTTAACACGAGGTTGCAAAAACAAAAATAATCTGTATGCAGCAGTTTTCATTGTTATTGTGTCTGTGCTTGACCCCTCAGAGTCGCAGTGTAAGAGCTGCACAGTTATGAATAAAGGCAGCCGCACCCTCTTTCATTCAGCATTCCCATTATTGCTTTATAAATGTATTCCCCCTTGTGTGTCCACTGAGGTTCGTCAGGCCCAACACATCTTCAACAAACTCCCCTTTGCCTCATCATAACAACTCACAAACACCAGCAACTGAGCATTGTCAGTGGTGTCAGTGGACTCACCCACAGCTAAGGAAATGAACTGTGCATTTTTTATTCCATCACAAAGCTGATGAATCAAATCACCAGCCAGTATTTATGTTCTTCTGGTTACTGTGGAATCTGAGAGGGGGATTTGCTGGATTTTACCTGTTATTTCCTCTTTTTGTTTGCCTTCAACATGGTCTCCATCACTTCAGTCATGCATTCTTTTATACTGCAGTTATTATCCAGTGGAAAGTCCTTACCTACTGGCCTAGTTAAATCAAAGTGGTTACTTTTTTTTGGCTGGGCAGTGTAGTTTTACACACCGTCTTATTTGACTTTCTCAGGACTTAAAACAATTTTTTTGGGGGCAGACCCCCTCAAAGAAAAAAATATATTTACACACGTAAGGTCATTATCTTAACAGTTTTGTATGCTCATCCATGAGCAGAGCATCAAGTTGACATGTCTATTATACAGCTGAATGTGGCGATTACCATTTTGTTCAGCAAAACGCCTCACAAACGTATTAAGATCAACAGCTTTAGTGCGTTTTGATTCAATGCTGAGTACAGCCAAACTTGACAGTCTCTTCTCTGTCATTGTAGAACGCAAATACCTCATTCCTTCAGTACTTGGGTCAGAATCGTCTATGGTCAGAATGCTTCTCGTTTTGCACCGTCCCGTTCAAATGAAATCGGCGTCAATCATATTTCCACTCTCGCGCCAGGGCCGGGGGAGGGGTTACAAGACGTGCGTCTTGTGCTGCATTCAATTACACTCGGACAATGGAGACTTTCTCTCATAAATGTCCGATGAGCCACAACTTTTCTTTTAAAACAAAGCTGCCAACTGGGGTGGCAAGGCCTATTTTTAGGGTGGCAGTTGCCACCCCGGTAGGTGAAACTATAGGCTACTAGCTACAGTACAGATGCAACTAGATGAGCTGTTAACTCTCACTCTGACTTTTTTTTTGCAAACTCTCGCTCTGACTCAGACAGGTTGAAAGAGACGATACACACATTTTTCCCACCGGCATGAGAAGCCCCTCAAGATGAGATGGGCGGGAGCTCAACATGGGAGGAGCCTCAACGCCCCTCCTTCTCAACCTTTGAGGCACGTGACGAGCTTCACAGATGACGCGTTGCATCCTGTTTCCGGGGTAGCAGTTATGTTCTGTTAATCATAGCGTCAGAGTAAAATGGAGGTAAGTAATCCCTGAATAAATTAACTATTTGTTTTTGCTGCAGTTTAAAATGTGTTGATTTTAAGTCTCACTTATTTGCTGTCAAATGTGCGCTGTCGCTACTAGGACGTGCATGTCCTAGTGATGCAGAAACTAACTACATTTAATAACTATTAATTATAACTACAAACTACATTTGTGTTGCTTCAAAATAGTAGGATTTCTGTATAAGCAAAGTCCTGAAAACTTTAGGAAAGTCTTTATATTATGTTTGCACTACTTGAGAAATACTAATAACTATACTATGCATAACCTATATTTCAATTAGATTTTTACAAAATAAATGTATATGCAGCTTATTTTATTCCTGCCTATTGCCTAACTATTTTGTTTGTGTTTATTTTCTTTGACCAGAAACACATCACACACTGATGAAAGGGATGTTCTCTGAAGGATAGAGCTTGTGCCAGAGCTGGCGGGGCGCATGAACAGTCAATGTGCGGAACAACTGTTCTCAGGAATGAGGAAAAACAACATACCCTCAACAAAGAAATATACTACACCACTACAATGTGACAACAAACAACATACCCTCAACAAAGAAATATACTACACTACTACAATGTGACAACAAACAACAAAGCTAAAGAGCAATACAGAAAAATCATCCCAGCAGATATGGAAATACAGCTTGATGTCAATGGGAGGATATCATTAGGTGAAGCATTTCTTAGAATCATTATGTTCTTGTTCTTTTATGTGGTTATCTGGAGATATCTACTAAAAACTAATATTATTTAATTTCAACAGCTCCTCCTTCACAAGTTGGGATGGCCACTACATTTTCAGAACACCACAGAGATGGTCAGGAGCAACAGGAGTGTAAGTTATCTGCTTGATATTGACAACTTGTATTCATACAAGTCATACTGTATAAACACATACATTTTGTGTTGTTGATTTTATCAAGTGAATGATGCCAAGGACCAGGGAGATTTTACTAGTATCAACACAATTATGGCAAGCAAAGGTTGCTGGGGACAGGAGCTTCAGGAGGTTAAAAAAAGTAAAGTGAACTAGTCAGCAGTTCAAAATATTGTATATATGCTAAATATTACTTAAAATGCCGGTTTTCATTTTCTTTTTTCTTCCTTTAGCTGTCACAGGTTCTGGACAAGACCCAAAGTCCAAACACACATCTAGCCTTTGTGAGCAAGATGGTTCTCACGCGGTCAGATCTTTGGAGTTTGGGTTTGGCTAATGACATGGATGGGATGGTAATCAGAGTGATCACGCTCTTTGTTTCTTGTACTTTTTCTAACTGATTTTGTTTTAATTGTTGGCATGTTTCATCTACTCTGTATTTTACTGACTGTGTGTTTGTATTCTGCCAGATCCTGAACAGCTGTCTTACAGTTATTGAGAAGGTATTGAAGCTGTTCTAAAATATGTAAATATATTACATTACATTGCATTTAGCTGACGCTTTTATCCAAAGTGACTTACAATAAGTGCGTTCGACCAACAAAATACAAACTTGAAGAAAACAGAATCATATAAGTACATCAGGCTTCATAGAGCAAAAACATTTATATGTATAAAACATACTATATTATACCAAACAATTATAAGATATTACATTATGAAACTACATCTGTTACAGAGAGTAGATGGCGTGTTTGCTGCCAACAGCCATGTTATAGCTGCTTGGTTTCCATCATCTTCGCTGAATCCGATGCAACACCTGCCGGTATTTTGATCATGATTATCCATGTTGCTGCTCCATGTTCTTGTACCAACTCATTACTGTAGTCACATCATCAACACAACTGTTTTTTTGCTTTTCCAGGAAAATGCAGCAAATCTCCAATGGCTTCTCCTTCCAGTGTGGGAACCTGGACACTGGACACTCTGTGTAAGTACATGTAGTTCTGTCTTTGCTATTGTGTTTACTTTACAATGAAGTTTGCCATGCCGAAAATAGTGTTTCTATCTTTAAATTCAACGCTTAATTTAGTTGTATAATATAGATCCTACAACTTTATAATATAACGTTTGTATGTCAAAGTATACCTGTTGATATTGGAACGTGTGATATTAACAGATACTGAGGCCACAAGCTAGGGAGATTTTCTTTCTAGATCCCCTCCGTGGCACTGGCTGGAGAGATGATAGTCGCACCAAACCATTCAGGTCTTTTGGCGTACAGTTACATCACATCCGGACAGTGGTAGTTCTGTTTTAGACCATTTGTCTATCTTTTTTTAATCTATGGCTCGGTTTTATTTTAACTATACATTGTATTAAATAAAGGGCATTGAACAGAACCATAGATGCCACTTGACAGCGGGGCTGTTCTGTTTAACCCCTTAATTACTTTTTTTTTGGAAGTTCAAGTTTGTTCCTGTTCCAACAGTGTTCAAAGATTTTCGAGTACTTATAAAGTTGAATTAAATTGTACTTATTCTTAACTTTCACATGCATTGTGTTCACAGAAACCTTGCTCAGATCTTGTGCCCTGGGCCTTGGGCAAGTCTTGGTGTGGATGATGTCCAGGTTAGATTTGTTAAAATTAGGGATGCTCCGATCGCCAATTTCGGGGCCGATCGCCGGAATCAGTATCGGCCGATACCGATCGCCGATCCGATCGAGTGGGCGGGGCCTAAATGGAAGATTTAAACATCACTTTAAATCTTCCATTTAAAGTGATGTTTAAAACTCAGTGAATGGGGCTCATTCACTGGAGCTTCCACAAACAACAATCAACTTAATTATTACATTCAAATGATGTACATTATTCAAGTTTACATTCACTTTGGATAATAACACGGGAGAAATTAGCGGAAGCGCTCTCTTTTCCTCTCTCCCTCCCCCCTCTCTGCCTCTCCTGACAGCCTGTCAGTATCTCATGCAGCTCACTGATCCAGTAATGAGTGACCCGACAATGAAGAATAAATATATTTATAATAACTAGTTTAGCTTGTTCCAGAGGTAGGGGTGTAACGGTATCCGTATTCGTCCCGTACCGTCACGGTTCGGACGTCACGGTTCGGCACACACAGTCACACGACGAATACGCATTTTTTTTACGAGTGGGAAAAAAGTGTCATTCAGGGCAGTATCCACTACACTATATATAATCCAGGGGGCGGTATTGCGCCTAAAAGCTGTTTGCCAGCCGCCCTTAAACAACAAAT